CCCCCCCTCCCCCCTTTCCCGAATCGTCGATCGTTCAACGACAAATCGTTCAGCGACCAAAAAAACCCTATCTCGAAACTAAACTCCGCTTTTTCCCCTCGATTTCTCTTCCCGATCTAGCGAGAGATCGGACGATACCGCGAGTTGATCGTCTCGTTGTCACGTGATAATGGCCTCAAACCAGGAGCTTCTCTTCCCTTCCCTTCCTTTTTCTACCTTTTTGCCCGACACCGGCCATCAAAGTCGAGTTGCACGGTTTTAGTTTAGCGGGCCGAGAGTGGCCGTCTAAAACGTAATTTCAACGCTAACGAGTCGACGATGCGCCGCCTAATTGCTTCACGGCGCAGCCGAGCCTCACTGCTCGACGAAGACGGAGCTCGCGTCGAATTCACAATCGAATCGGGGATCGGGCTAATGGATCGTTTAGGAATACACGGTGAGGACAGTAACGACGGCGAAAGGTGACGAGTAGAGTATGTGCCCTTCCCGATCACTTATTATTATTAGATTAGGGAGGTAGGTTATTTTCGGCTGAAATGTGTCGTTGGGCAAAAGTCAGTCACATAAGGCAATACTCGCAATTACAGTAGTCCCCAGTTAAATCCGCACTTTTCCCCAGTTAAACGTCGTTATCCCCACTAATTCTTGGAATTAGGACCATTCCATACGCTATCTTAGCCACGAAACAAGCGATACGCAGCAGTGCCCTCGTAAGTGACTGCACCTTTTAGACTCGTAGCGTCCATGTCCACCAATTTTTGGAATTCTTGGAACTATCTATACTCTACGCTACTCTTATAATGTGGCGATGTGACAACATGACACTCGCTTATCCGCCCCAATTCTTGAAATTGGGACCATTCCATACGCTATCTTAGCCACGAAACAAGCGATACACAGCAGTGCCCTCGTAAGTGACCGCACCTTTTGGACTCGTAAGCGTTCGTCTCCACCAATTTTTGGAATTGGGACCATTCCATACGCTATCTTAGCCACGAAACAAGCGGTACACAGCAGTGCCCTCGTAAGTGACCGCACCTTTTGGACTCGTAGCGTCCATGTCCACCAATTTTTGGAATTCTTGGAACTATCTATACTCTACGTTACCCTTACAATGCGGCGATGTGACAACATGACACTCGTTTGTCCGCCCCAATTCTTGAAATTGAGACTATCTCATCCTCATTCTTCCTTTAGATGCCAATTCACAGAATACACCTTCCCCGTTTGAGCATCCGCTTTCCTGAATTGCGGACGCTTAACTGGGAAATATCCCTGATAATACGTTTCTACGTTTATATTTCATCGAGCCTGGTTGTAAAGCCAAGGCCAGAGAAACGTGTCCCCTGCAGATCG